CTACCACGCGAAATGAAGTAGCCCACCATCATGCTGAAACCTACATTCATTGATCTTGAAACTATGTACTACAGGTATGGTTTTGTGTGAAGTGTCTGTCTTCTACCTCCCACCCTCTTTTGGGAAGAGTGGTAGAAAATCTTGCAAGTATTCAACACCCTGGCTTTGCCAGGATTCTCACTATTACAGAAGCTAAAATACCACAAATCTAAAAATGATTTTACTTCGTAATTTTTTAAATTCTGTTGACAGGCTTAAAACAATATAATTTGTCTCAGTTTGTTGGAACTTGTTGCAGCATGTTGCTAAACTGATCATCTTTAGAAATTACTCTTTTCAAAATCATCTTCATGAACTACAACATCCCAGAATATTTTTGCATGGTAACCTAATTTACGTCAACTAAAATGTGAAGTACTTTTGCTAAACTGTTTAATTTCAAGCAGTAGGCAATCTGTTTACAGGTTATTTAAATCTTTTTAAGTTTAATATATAAACGTTATTTAAAAATCTTAGTACATGATGTCAAACATGCATTTTAGTATTCAGATACTAAAGCAAACATCAGTCAGAAGCGCAATATTTAAAAAGAACAAATTGAAAATAGCTGTCAAAAACATCTTTGTTTTGGAAAGTTGGTTCACAGGTAGTTTCAATGAGAACTTGAACTCAGAACAAAGCACTGAAGACACAGTAAAGAGTTCAACTTAGTGCAGCATAGTTCTTTTCAAGTATTATATTGTTTTAATGGAATCTTGGAACGGGAGCTTTAGCCCATTGAAATGTCGCTTAAAGCACAGGTTCTTCTGTCACTAGCTGGAGCTGTGTGGATGAAATGATCACAATAGAGTGTTGTAATGCATTTTAAAAGTGTGAGAAATCAGTTTGTCTAGACTAAGAGTGTGCCTACAGGGAATAGGAATTTTAGAGCTTCTGTGCTCTTTAGGTGTCAAGTATGTGATAGATGCCAAGCCTTTTTATTCCATATCTTTGGCAACAGCTCAGCTATGCTACAGTACCTTACATGTCTACTGCAAGCAAAAACAGTGATTCTATGTCAGGACGACTTGTGGGCTTGAAAATCCAGAAACTCATTGTCCTAACAACTGTCTGTTCAATTGCCAACTTTAAACTGGGGGAAGATATCAATAAACAATTGCTGTGTTCCCAGAAGGCATGGAAACGTTAGCTATAATGAATCAAAAGTACGAAGGGCTGGCAACATCATGTAATTATTTTAATGTCTTTAAACAGCCAGTTTTTATTTTCACTTAAAAGATCTTCATGGGATGTATCCCATGCTACTAATAAAGTTAATTATATGATTTAGAGCCAATTGAGTGCATAAAACTTATACTATGATATTCTGTTTGGGGGTTTTTTGGTGGGGGGGTTGGCAGATGAATTAGTCTAGACACTTCTTCATTACAAGTAACTTACAAGTCCAACGCTTAGTGTGTTTCAGGAGCAGGTTAGTGTCATTTTTAATCAAACTTGCTATGAAGCTGTGTTAAAATTATGTGTCATGCTCCCATTTTGGTGGAGTTTCAGACTGAGGGATGTTAAGGCTGTTGACATGTAAAAATTCCTCTAATAGGTAACATTACAACATTTTTGTGTTGAGGAATTCAAAACATTTTAACTGTAGACACTGCATTAACAAACACTTTCTCAAGTCATTTTGTTTCATTTCTTATTTCCAGTGTCACCATTCTTTGATTACTTTTGATGCTCACAAATTGGATGCATTTGTAACAACCTTTGCATGCAGCAGAATCATTCCAAAACTCGTTTCATCAACTAAAATATTTAATTCTATTAACTATATTTTACCCATACATACTTGCACCAGTATGTCTGTGATTATGTATATAATAATTTCCTAGTCAGTTTTTATAAACAACAGACAAGCCATAACAGTAAAACCACACCTGCTTTTTACTGCAGGTGAAAAAGTATTGTGTTAAGCACGACAGTGCTTGCCAACATAAAAAAACCCCCTAACTTTAAAATATTTCTCTTAAATTGTGGTTTGAGACTTCAGCAGCAGTCAAAAACGCCTGTCTGTCAGGATGTGTTTTGTGTATGTGTTGCAATATTTGTGTAATCTGTGGTGTTTCTTTTTTTCATATCATGGCTAGACTGGTATTAAAAATAAACATTACTTAGGCTTAAGGAAAACATTTATGATTAAATTGTTAAAATATTTTGACAGTTTGCTTTAGGTAGTCTGAATTCAAATTTTATGAGCTGAAAACTTCCTGTGTTTTCTTTTTTCTCTCTCTCTCCCCCTCGCCCTTCCTTTTTTGTCTTTTTTCTCTCTGTTTTACTTATAATGCAGGACAAGCATTTCACACTCACTCCCCAGTGCAATTCTGACAAATTGATCTCTCCAAGTTTATTTTATGAAGTGAAACAAAAAAGGAAACATGCCTCATTTTGAGGGATGATCTGGTGACAGCATCAAGAGCTTTTAAGTTTGCCACCAGACAAAATCCTGTAAAGTTGGTAGCTAGAGACTTGTAAAAACCAAAATGTTTGGTTAAAATTGTTTGCCTCTTCAATTCAAGTCATGTCATCACTGGCAAGATTAGTTCAATATGTCTGAACATTAACTGCGTATTTCTGGACCTTCACCAAATTAGTATTTTTCTTGGAGAAAGGCAAGGAAAAATAGAGTCCGTGAAGCTTCTGTTGGCCTGAAGTGTACATGTATTTGCTGGAGTCACAAGTACTTAGTTGGCTTGCTTCTGCATCTTTAGAGGAAGTATTTGATGATCCATTTTTACTCTCTTTAGTAGGTGTCATCCTACAAAGATGAGTTGACAAGCTAATTATATGTAATTGCTGTTTAGTTTTTAAAGAAAGAAAGTTCATTTCAATTTTATCAGGAAAAATTACTGTCAATGGTGTCTGCCTCACGTATAGATTTTTGATTTCACCCCCACCCCCAATTTTACATTTGTTTTCTATTAAACTTTCCGAGTGTCTTCATGGTCTTTTTTAACTATGTGATCCTTTGCTGTTGTATATAATAACAGCTCACAAGACAGGCTCTACTAGTCTTCCACTAAACTCTTTCACTAAGACTTATGTTAGAAGGATTCTGCAGAATTTTACCTTTATGAAAACATAGTTCTGGAATATTAGCAAATCAAAGTACAGAAGCATCAAGAAGAAACGTCCCAATCAAAAAATGTCAAATATAACAGATTCAGTGAAATGAGTCATGATCTCAGAAACTTTAGTTCATTAGTCAGAGAGGAAAGACAAATTTATATCTTAAGAGTCCTTTCTTCTTACAATAAAAATATACTTCTAATATAAATGAGACAAATTTTATTGAGGTAGTGAATACTGATAAATTATACTATGTTTTTTCATAAACTTTTTTTAAGCATGATGCATTTATTTCCTTTTTGCAGGATATCACTGCTTTAACTGGTGTCCCAGAGGAACACATCAAAACCAGAAAAGTCCAAATTTTTGTTCCAGCACGTAATGCCATGCAGGCTGGTGTTAACAACACCAAGAAATGGAAGATGGAATTTGATACCAGGGAGCGCTGGGAAAACCCTTTGATGGGTTGGGCCTCTACGTGAGTCTAACTGAATTTTTAAACTTGAAATTGTTATTTTTTAAGTCACTTAACTGTACAGATTTTTCTTTGCAATTATGTTTTCTATGCAAATGTAGTTGTACTTCACAGCATTTACAATAAATGGATCAATGTAATCATGGTAATAGTTTAAACCAGGAATGGGAAGTTGTTTTGGCTGGAAGGAATTTTGGTGAGCTATTGCGGGCCAAGGATTGGGGGGTTGCTGACCTGAGCTGGCACAGTAGAACAAGGGTACAATTGATCCTATCTGGCCTGGGCCCCTCCCACCTCACACCCACCACCGGAGGCACTGGATGGAGGGAGGGATCTCCATAAAGACCATCCATGATCCCCCATGGCTGTGGGAAGTGTGGAATAGGTAGACATGGGGGTCTCCATTAGACTGACCTGGGACATCCACAGGCAGGGCACACTTGGGCAGGGGGGTGAGATAGGGCCACAGGTGGGCAGGGAGCAGGACAGGTAGGCTAGGGCTGAGGAACTCATCATGGGCCAGATAGAATTCCCCAGTGGGCCAGAATTTGCTCACCCCTGGTTTAGACCATGAAAGCATGTCTGAAACTAAATTGCTGTATACATTGCTGTCAACATAAGTTCAAGTTCAGATATAGAGGACAACACCCTTAGCTACAAAGGTTTGGGGGAAAATGTTTTGACTTTCTTCATCTAACTTAGACATGACCCAAAACTCAAGGCTTGTGTGTGTGTGTGTGTGTGTGTATTGCATCGCAGCATTACTTGAGGGCCATTAAGTTACATCTAGGACTAAACCCGTACTAACTGTCCATTTTCATTTGCTTTAACTTCAAAAAGGTACTTAGCTTATAAGCAGTCTTTTTTTTTTTTTTTTAGTCATACATTCTTGCATATCTTACCCATGTCTCACAACTGACATATTGATGGATTTAGTATGTTTAAGATGTTTCTTAAAATAAAAATTGCATGAATGAAAACAGACAGTATCATTGTCTTTGGCCTAGTAGGTTAGTTATAGCATTCTGCAAATGATTTAATAAACAGTCATGATTTCCATTGATTTTGCAGATTTGTCACTCTTATCCTGATGGTGTCGTAATTTAATGCTGAATTATCATTTGCCAGACTTTCTGAAAAGTACCTGCTCAGGAAAATCTTATTTCAGTATTGTAATCATTCCAACATTTTTTTTCCAAACACTGAAAAGAGTATAGTGAAACCCTTAAACACAAAAACACACTTTTCCCTGCTGTTATTTTTTAATGCATTAGAGCTTGAGACTAAAACAAATGAAACTTGACCTCTTTATCAGTATATTTTTTCCTTTTAAATGACATGAAATAGCATTGGTTTTGTAGTTGAAAATATATGCTCATGAAAATAGTGTCTCAGAAGTAGTTTTAGAAATAAATGCATTTTAAACAAGTATTTGTTATGGTGGGGAGAGAAATCCTGAGCTCAGGTTTTTGTTTTTTTGCTATTTTGTTTCCATACAAGAAATAATATGACTAAATCCTATAAAAGTTCATGGGTGCCATTGTTGCAGGAAAAAAAAATCATAATTTTAAATTGACCTATCAGCAGATAGAGGAGAAACTGATTTGTATTAAAATATGCTGCTTTGTCATTTACTTTGAAATTTCACACCTATGAATGCACTAAAGATTTCAAATAGTTCCCCAGATTATTCATTCTTTCATCTCCAATACGTATTAGATATGCATTCAAAGGCATGAAGTTTTAGTAACATACCATATTTAGTCAAATACAAGATGATCCTAAATATAAGACAACCCACCAATAATTAGAGTGTACGCATGGAAAACTTATAAATTTGTTATAATTTTCCAGGTACAGAATCTAAGTACTGGAGGTTTGTCTTGAATCCTCCCTGCTTCCCCCACTGCTACAGCAGGGAAAGCAGTGCCTGGGAGGGTTAAATGGCCGCCTTTGCCAGTGCCCCGTCCACTTCTTCCTCCTGCATCTTTGCTGCACCCTCTGCCAGCTGCATTCCCCACCCCCCCAGTCTCTTCCTCTTCTACCCCTACTGACCCCAGTGTCTGCCTCTTCCCACCCTGCTCTCTGTAGTTTCTGCCTCTTCCCCCTCATTCCCCAGCCTCACTGTTACTGTCAGATGATGCTTGAGCGGCTTTGTCCCCAAGTACAGCACATGGAAGCTCAGCCCTTGCCTGGTCATACTGCAGTGTTGGCGCTACTGATTGGCCAGGCAGGGGAGGAAGTTTACATGTACTCTGTGCCCAGGAAGGAACCCAACCTAAGCCAGAGCTAAGATGCACCCAACAGTAAGTGCAGGGGGGAGGCAAGAGGCTGCTATCATCTGGTTGTGGCCCTGACCTGGGCTCAGGACCAGAGTCAGAGCCACAAACAGCTGCCTGCTCCCCTCTCCTCTTTTTATATGGATATAAGATGAGCGACTTTTTCCCTCCATGCTGACTGGGGGGGAACCTCATCTTATATTGGGCTAACTCTACTTCTCCATGTAACCAGTGAACTCCTATAAATAACAGTTTTTTATGAAATAATGATGGAGTTTTTTTTTTTTTCAAATCAACAATTTAAGTGATAAACTATCAATTTTCCTCCTCTATCCCTTGTGCCCTCCAAAAATCCCCAAGTATATAACAGCTAAACTGTGTTCTAGTAAAACCTTTCAGCAGATGATCATATTTTATCTGGTGCTAGTAAGACCTCATGTAGTTAAGATTTAAATTTGAACAACTTCCCTAATCAGCCTTACTTACCTATATTATTTTCCAGTGAAATTTTGTTTGACCTCAACCAAAAATGCAAACTTTAACTTTTTAGCAAATGTATAAATTTGAGCTAAATAATCTGTTTAGATGGATGAATATTACTAATAAGTTGTCTGTGATTTTGTTATTCTGCAGTAAGTGTACAAATTAAATTAGAATAACTATTTGTGAAAAAAAATCCATAAACGGCTGTATTTTCGGGTTTAAGAGTGCATAAATGGATTTGTTTAGAAAGAGCTGTTCCCATGTTTTGACAAAGAAAATACCACAGTGCATTCTAAAACAATTGATACTTGATGAACACTAGTGGGTCCATGGTTTTCTTAATTGAATCATACCTGTAACATTTTTATACAATTCTGACAACTGTCACTGGATATTAGTTATCTTAAAATAGCTATTCAGCATCCTAAAATATCTTCTGTCGTCTTCCCTGTTATAGTTTCTGCAAAATTGTAACCATTTTAAGGATTCCCAATATCTAGCAGTAACCTCAAAAGGGGAAGATGGGAACCAGCTTCTTTTCCTGGAGTACCCATGTTAGAAAGTGGGAGATTCTCATCAGAAATCTATCTACCTTTCTTGCAACCTTGTGGTAGTTTTTGTCCTTTACAGCCCCTCATTTCTTGGGTGCAGTTTTTTCAGTGGAAGATAATCAGATGTGGCACTAACCTGCATCACACACATTAAATTGACCCCAGCTCCTTTACAGTACTTTTATTTCTGGTGAATGGATAAAGAATCTATTGACTCTTTTAGTAGGAAGTTGGAAAGTAACAGGAACACTGGTCTTCCTTTTGAGTGTACTTTGGTATTTAAAAAAAAGTATGGGAGCATTCCCAGAGTAGTAATAGCCAGTAAGAAATGAGTACTGATGATAATCTAGCTTCCAAGCTTTCTACAGACAGTATCATGTTGTTTCATTTTACTCTAATTGTCACTCCCTGACTTTCACAAATCTAGCCATGTAATAGTTATGGAAATAGTGAAAGTGTTAGTTTATACTAGATAGATTGCTAGTATAAAGAAAATAGAGAGGGTAGACCAGTTGTATATCTGCTTTATAGGGCCCCCATCTCCATATTTTCTGGATACTGGCAAATATCCTTCATGTTTATCTGGTGCTGAACAAACTTTTGTAATTCAGGCAAAAATTTGCCTGCTATGTTGCTTTTATCACTGAGGAGACTAGCAAAGATCAAACCTGCAGGATATTGCAGGATTACTTGATTCTTTGATCTGGGTTTCGTAGTTTCACAGATGGTGGGGTTGGAAGGGACCTGAGCAGATCATCAAGTCCAACCCCCTGCCGTGGCAGGAAAGAGTACTGGGGTCAAACGACCCTGGCAAGGTGTTCATCTAGCCTCCTTTTAAAGATCTTCAGGGTAGGAGCCAGCACCACTTCTCTTGGAAGTTGGTTCCAGATCCTAGCTGCCCTGACAGTGAAGTAGCGCCTCCTGATGTCTAGCCTGAATCTACCCTCTGCCAGCTTGTGACTGTTATTTCTTATCACTCCGGGTAGTGCTCAGGGGAACAGGGACTCTCCCAATGCCTGCTGGTCCCCCCTGACTAGTTTGTAAATGGCCACTAGATCCCCCCCCCTCAGCCTTCCCTTGTAGAAGCTGAACAGGTTCAGGTCCCTTAGCCTCTCCTCGTAGGGTCTGCTGCCCCCTGATCATGCGGGTGGCCCTTCTCTGGACCCTCTCCATGTTGTCCACATCCCTCCTGAAGTGCGGCGCCCAGAACTGGACGCAGTACTCCAACTGAGGCCTGACCAATGTCGCATAGAGGGGAGGATCACCTCCTTAGACCTGCTTGAGATGCGTGCGTGGATGCATGACAAGGTACGCTTGGCCTTCCTGACTGCGTCCCCGCACTGTCGGCCCATGTTCATTTTGGCATCAATAAAGACTCCAAGATCCTTTTCTGCCTCTGCACTGATGAGAAGGGAGTTCCCCAGCCTGTAGGTATGCTGCTGGTTCTTCCTCCCCAGGTGCAGTACCCTGCGCTTACCAGTGTTGAAACCCATCCAGTTCTCATTCGCCCACTCCTGTAACCTGTCCAGGTCTGATTGCAGCCTATTCCTCCCTTCTAGTGTACCTACTTCTCCCCACATCTTAATGTCATCTGCGAATTTGAACAGGGTGCTTTTTACCCCCTTGTCCAAGTTGCTGATGAAGATGTTGAACAGTGCGGGCCCGAGGACTGAGCCCTGCAGAACCCCACTGCCCACACCCCTCAAGGTCGAATAAGACCCGTCCACCACCACTCTCTGGGTGCGGCCCTCCAGCCAATTAGTGACCCATCTGACTGTGTAGGTATCGATGCCACAGTCTCCTAGTTTTTCTGGACTTTAGGAAGGCCTTCGACACTGTCTCTCACCCCATTCTCATTAAAAAACTATGTCCACCGCAACACGTGCATCCAAGAGTTTTGTGACCTGGTCATAGAAGGCCACCAGGTTAGTCTGACAGGACCTGCCTCTAGTGAGCCCATGTTGGTTGCTCCTAAGCATAATCTCCCCGGCTGGCCCCTCGTGGACATGCACCGGGATAATTCTCTCAAGAAGCTTACCCAGGACCGAGGTAAGAGTAACTGTCCTATAGTTTCCTGGGTCCTCCTTCCTCCCTTTTTTGAAAATGGGGACCACATTGGCCCTTTTCCTGTCCTCCGGCACATCGCCAGAGCACCATGAGTGCTCATAAAGCCGTGCCAGGGGTCCCGCAATGACCTATGCTAATTCCCTCAGCACTCTGGGGTGGAGATCGTCAAGACCTGCTGATTTAAATATGTCCAGTCCCTCCAGAAGTTCCCTGAGTAGGTCCTCTCTGACCCTAGGCCTGGGTGCACCTCCCCTGGGGCCTACAGGGGTCCCAGTGGGGGGGGATGACCCAGTCTCTGCTCAGAAAAATGGGGGCAAAGAAATTGTTAAATAGGTTAGCTTTGCTTTCTGGTGACGACCATATTACCTAGTGTGTCCTGTAGAAGCCCCACATTACCCGGTACCTTCTTTTTACCCCCTATGGATTTAAAAAAGGACTTCTTGTTGTCCTTGATCTGGATAGCTAATCTCAGTTCCATCTCTGCCTTGGCCTTCCTGACCACCCCCCTACAGTCCCGAGCAACACAGGTATAGTCCTTTGTGTTGATGGCCTCTCCCTTCCATTGGGTGTACGCCTCCTTTTTAGCTAGGAGAAGTTCCCGGATGCTTTTGGTGAGCCATGGGGGCTTTTGCGCCCTCTTGCTCCCTTTGATCCATGTTGGGATTACCTCCCTTTGGGCTTGGATGATTGACTCCTTAAGGAATGACCACTCTTTTGGACACCCAACTCCCCTCCCCTCGGGGACCTCAGTGTCTCCCCAACTGTTCTTCTTACCTCATTGAAATCTGCCCTCCTGAAGTCCAGAGCTGCTGCCTTGCTGCAGGCCTTTGCCACCTTGCGCTGAATGGTGAATTCCAGTAGGCCATGATCACTGTTGCCCAGATGGTCAAGCACCCGCAGACCCAGGTCGTCGCCCATGGCCAGGACCAGATCCAACAAGGCGTCTCCCCTGGTGGGGCTGTGCATCTCCTGGGTTAGGTGGCGATCCTATATCTCAGCTAGGAACCTACATGAGCGGTCAGACCTGGCTGACTGCTCTTCCCAGCAGATGTCTGGAAAGTTTAGGTCACCCATGATGACCAGACCATGTCCTTTGACCTAACTGCCTCTGTGAGCTGATTTAAGAATTCACGGTCTAGCACTTCCCCTTGGTTGGGTGGTCTGTAGTAGACCCCCACCGTTAAGTCCCTTTCCGCTAGACCTCCTTGTATTCTAACCCAGAGCACTTCAGTGTGCCCCTCCTCTGACCCAGTGCTACTCATTGAGGATGTGTATTTCTCCTTGATGTAGAGTGCTACACTCCCACCTTTCCTCCCTGTCCTATCCCTCCTGTACAGCCTATAGCCCTTGATATTCACTGCCCAGTCATGCGTTGGATCCCAGCACATTTCGGTGAGCCCCACTATGTCTGGGTTGGTGTTAGCTAGCAGGAGGGTAAGTTCCTCCTGCTTGTTCTCCATACTACGAGCATTAGTGTAGAGGCATTTGAGGCCTCCTGAAGATGCATGCACTGCCCCCCTAATCCTAGTACTACCCGGGCCCCTGTTGCTTACCTGGGTATTTGTTCTGATCGTCGTCGGTCTAGACTGGGCTGTTCTTGTGGGTGACGCTTGGTTTAGTGGTCCAAGGCTTCCTCCACCCTCATCTTCCCCTTCCCCCAATGGGTTGTGGTCATGCTATCAGTTAGACCTCAGTATTTTGTTTGCCATATTAATACAGGTACTCCTCACTTAATGACCTACCTGTTTAACGACCGTGTGCACTTACGACCAGTGAGAACTGGTCGTAAGTACGAGAACTTTGGTCGTGGAAACGGCAGCGCGCATCTCAAGCCAAGGCACGTAGTATCAAGGGGCGGCTCCTGGTTGTGGTCATGCTATCAGTTAGACCTCAGTATTTTGTTTGCCATATTAATACAGGTACTCCTCACTTAATGACCTACCTGTTTAACGACCGTGTGCACTTACGACCAGTGAGAACTGGTCGTAAGTACGAGAACTTTGGTCGTGGAAACGGCAGCGCGCATCTCAAGCCAAGGCACGTAGTATCAAGGGGCGGCTCCTCGCTTATCAACCAATTCGCTTAACGACCCAGTTGCAGGAACGGAACTCAGTCGTTAAGTGAGGAGTGCCTGTATAAGAAGTCCTTTCCAATCTGAGAAGTTCTGTCTTAATGATTTGTGGAGTCTCTTCTCTTTTGAGCATTTGTCCACACATTCTCCTTATGGGTGTTATCATTAGGGCTGTGTGAAGCTTCGGTTGCTGGTTCCATTTGGCCTGATTCAGTGGCCGAATCTCCAAATCAGGAGACCCTTTAATCTCTCTCAATCAAATTGGAACCCTCCAAATCAATTCAGAGAGATTTGGAGTGATTCGATGATTCAGACATAGACATAGCTTTATATGTTTTTTCTACATACCTCAAGGTACCAGGCGGATCCTGAACAACATGGGGGGGCGGATGGAGCGTCCCACGGGAGTGGGGGGGGGGGGGGTCCCCCAGTGCACTCGATGGTGGACCTGAAAGTGAACCAGAAGCACTTACGGTCCACTTCCGGGTCTGCCATGGAGCACACAGGGGACCCCACCCCCCGGCTCAGCAACTGGTGCCTCCTGGGTCTGGGGGGGCACCCGGGGTCCCCCTGCGGCCGATTGCCAAACTGGGGGGGTGTCCCCTGCACGCTTGGCGGTGGACCCAGAAGTGAACCAGAAGTACTTCCCATCCACTTCCAGGTCCACTGCCGAGCATGTAGGGGGCCTCCCACACTCCTGGGGTACGTTCCATCTGCCCCACCATCTCAGTGTTCACGAGCCACATCTGGTACCTCAAGGTACGTAGAAAAAACATTTAAAGCTGTGTCTGTGGCCAAATCGCGCTGATTCTTGAAATCGGCATCAAATATTCAGATTTGGCCGAATCGAATCGGGACAGTGATCCAAATCAACTAACTGAATCGCTGTCCCCTGAATCGGGCTGAATCCAAATCGAATACGGCCCACTTTGCACACCCCTAGTTATCATGCCTTACTATCCCATAATGTGTACTCCACCCTTCCTCAGACTCCTGCACTGAGGGGATAGAGCATGGTGGGTGCCTCCTACTTGGTTCCTTTCAACTGCCTTGCTGAAGACTAAACATTCTGTGTCAGCCTTCTCTGTGGACCTTAACACAAAGCCTTTTTTCTGGCTCACTTTTTTCACTATTATCCTTTTTAGCATACCCATTTCTTTTTTAGTATAATATATTCTCTCTTTCATTTAATTGTTTTTTCTTGGGAATGAAAGGAGAAGGCTTTAACCCTCAGGCTGTAGTTGGAAGTTCACCAACTCTGTGTCCTCCACCCTTATCCCTCTACCTGCTGCCAAAAATTGTATTTTTGCTGCACCACAAGGTTCTGCTATTTTAGGATTTTACTCCATGGTGACTCTTCCCTTCTGAAGAGCTGAAGACGCCTCTTTTATTCATTCTACCACCCTTTTCAAGAGTGTACTCTACAAGTACATATGTTCAGCAGTGTTGCTGTCAGTTAAGTCTCCCACTGACCCCAGCATCACATTGGTGTATTGCATTGCTTTTATTGTGTAAGAGTCTTGTATCCCAAGCAAGTAAATTGTAGGGCCATCTCTAGGTCCTTCAAGTCCAGGATGAGAAAGGACAAGGAAAGGAAGTTCTGGGTGGCCCTGTTCTACAGGTCTGTAGGACTGGCACTTTACCATTGTTCAAGGAGCTTCACTCTGTAAGTAAGTTCACCAAATACCACCTTACTCCTCAGCACCTGCAGATCAATCTTCTCCCCAAATCAAGATTTTGCCTAAGGGAAGGAGCACTACTAGGAGGCCTTTTCCTGTTGTCCTGAAACACTTTTATCAACCCTTAGGACCTTCTACAGAACCCCAAGCAGGCTTCAAGACTTCTTGGGCTCCATGAAGCTCATATGCTAAAGGCATACAGTCCAGTGCAGCCTGGTGGAGGTCATTGCAAGCATAACTTTCAATTTTCAGATTCTTCTAGATTTTAGGATGGCTCAGGTATTCTCCATTCTCTGTCTAATAATTCCTTGCCTACTTGCTTTGGTGTTGTGCTTTCTCTTCTTCAAGATACAGCCTGACAAGACTGATAGGTAAAGGACAGTCTTCTGGTCACCTTGCTCTCTTCTTACCACATTTACTATCCCCATCCACCACAAACATTGTGCCCTTTGTAGACAGCTTTAGAAATCAGTTTGTTGAAGGGTTTTAATTGCTTATTACATATTCAGCACATATTAAGTATTTGCAAAGATTTAGCATTTAAAAATATCTGTTTCTGAACAAGTTTTAATGCAGATTGTATTCAAAATACAGACAGAAAATTCTGCATATGATAGAGTCCATGTCAGTACAAAAAAAGTAAAAGTATTGTGTATGGCTGAGATCTGTGGGGATAGTGCATTTTGTTACTATTTTATTTAAACTCGGACTGCATGAGATCCTAAGCTACAGATATTACAGAATACTTAACGTTACATTTTTATTTTGTATTAAAAACTACACTGTGTTTTTTACAGGGCTGATCCTTTGTCCAACATGGTCCTAACTTTCTCTACAAAAGAAGATGCAATTGCCTTTGCTGAAAAAAATGGTACGTATCTGAGTGGTCTTGATTGTGCCAATATTTGTGGTAGCATTAATTTAATTGAGATAACGTGATCTTAGCATTTGGAAGAAAAGTTGCACCAAAGAAAGTACAGGTTGGAGGTTATTTAATAATAAATATTTCCATTGCTGTTTGTTGTTTGGTTTTTAATGGCTCAAAATTATCTTTATAAATTATTGTTTAACATGAAATAGAGAAACAGTTCTTAGAGTGAGGGTCTGGAATCCAGAGCTCATTTGCACATTCATTCTCTCATGTGGGTGCCAAACCGCTAGCTACAGGACTGTACTGTTTCTTGTGCTTTGCAAGGCCTTATGAATCTTGCAGTTTTAGCTGTGCTCTGGCCCCAATTCAACAGGATGGGTGGAGAGTGCCACCACCCAACCATGTCTGTAACCTGTGGGTTAAAACATTCCTCTTCTGCAAGGTAGAAGATGTAGGTTTGAATCTTCTTAGCTGGAGGGGGCATTTGAGCCTAGATCCCTACTTCTGAGCAAGTACCCTAACCACTAAGCTATTGTATAAAGATGAGCAGCATCACCACATCCGATTCCAGCATCTGTTGGGTTTTTTATTTTCCTTAAAAGAGAAGAGTGAGCTCTGCCTATTTCTTTGAAACAGTAATTGTAGGTATCTACCCTCAGAAAGAGGTTAAGAGATCTGGCTCTAAATCTGGATTTTGGGCACCTCAGTTTTGTGGAAGGTGCAGGATTTCAGGCAGTCCTTGTGCTTTATACTTCCTTTTGACAAACTCTGCTTAGCGTGTGGGTTTTGGGCCACTTAATTCTTCTTAGGCACCTGACAAGGAGTCTAGAGACTTGGTTCTGAATTCTGGAATCCATACAGTAGAAACTATTAAGAATGAAAATATCTCTATTCATTTAATATTAGTCTATTTGAATTTTAATACAAAAGCAGTCAAAAAGACTGTTTGCGCGTAACATTAAACACACATTTAAGTCATTGCTGAAACTTTAGGGTGTCTGTAGACGTGCGGAGAGGCTGCTCCAATGCGCTGTAATTACAGCACATAGGAGCAGACTTGATTAATAGAGCCTGCTAGAGCATGCTAATTAGCGCGCCTCCAGCAGGCTCTGCGTCTCATGCATCAGCATCCCCGCACTTCCAAGTGGTGGCAGGGGCTTGTTCATTGAGCTTTAGTTAAAGCACCCCTGCTGCCATTTTGAAGTGCTGTGAGCATTTAAATTAAAGCAGCTCTCGGAGCCACTCTAAAGCTCCCCCCCCCCCCTCAGAGCACATGTAAAAATGCCCTTGGGCCTTCATTTTCCAACAAGCCATTTTAAGTAACATTCACCGTAACAAGTGTGAAGTAGAACCTTTTTTTCTTAAACATGTCCATTGCAGTTGCACTTACCTCTTTTTTTTTTTTAAGTTGTTTTGTTCAACATTGGAAAAAGTTCTGTGAACTACCAAGGCAAAGCTTTTTTTTTCCCAATTATTTTTAATTTACGGAAGTGCCAGAATACATTCTGAACTGTTCACTTTGCATTTTAATATTTCCCTCTCTCAAATCTAGAATATCATATGAATGTTGACAGCCCTTTTTGTGTCAATACAAGTACCCCTCTGTATTTCTTTATCCTTTTCATGCTAATTCTTTTAAAGAAAGGAAATTTAGTACTCATAGAATGAGGAATTAATAGCACTGGCTAAAAGCCAAGTACTGTATAATGAAAAAGGGTGCAAGCTTCTCGGAAGTGCTCTGCCAGTGCACTTTATCACAGCCTACAAACTCAGGACTAATTTCAGTCTTAAGCTGTTCAGGAACAGAAACCCCAATCGGATCCCGTTGTGCCAAATCATGTGGTGGCTTCTGATGTGCACCCACCCAGGAAACTAGGAAATGGCCATTAAACTGTTTTCACTTATGAACTATTTTGTCAGGAGTTAGTGCATCTCAAAGGGGATAAGTTAGTGTGAAAACAACCAAGTTGCCAAACTGCTCCATTTTATTTGTTTCTGAAAGTAGACTATAGTAATGCATTGCATTAAAAAATAAACTAAACTAATGACCAGAAACTTTGCATACCCCATTTCCCTGGGGTATGCAAAATGCAATATCAGAAAAAGTTTTTAAAATGCAGTTTTTTCTACTAGAAATCAACATGCTATCTTTACATCCCTCTGGACGTAGTTTATACATGCAGCACTGCTCCCGTAAAGTTCTGAGTAAACAGTAATGGCATTACTGTGGTAGATCCTGGCAATGCCTTTAATGGCAACATTGTTGTATAGCTGCCAAGTTATTTGCTTCTTAATACGTGCAATATATGAGACTCGTACTGAGGTCCAACCCTCATGTGTAATAAGTTTATACTCATCTCCTCCAAGTCATTATCTATGTCTTGACCTTCTTTTAGTTAGCAGACTTGTATAAGATACTTAACTTGCACAGTGGTTCAGTGTGGAAGACTGTTGACTAGTTTATGTGCCTTCGTGGCAGTAGGGATTAATTGGAGTAGTCATGAATGCCATGCCTAGGATTGCAGGGTTAAAGCCCTTTTTAATATAGAAGCTGCACTAATTGAACTTAAGGTGTGATTTTTAAATGAGTCAAACTAAAACAGTTCATAACTCTGTGAACATACTTGCTTGTTTTGAGTTTAAGTTGCACGTGTAATCTTGCTAATGTCAGTTAAGTCCATAGAAGCTAAGCTTAAATCGAGATAGTATCCATAAAGAGGTTTCACTTAAGGCATGATCTCAATCAATCTAATTGTAGTTTATAATGGTGCAATATTATGTGAAGACTTGATCTTAAGCCTTCATATTCTGTGTGGTAGAGGCAAGCAGGCCTGGAGATTTAAATCCAAGTACACCCCACACCCCTTTTCCCTTTGTTACCTATATTTTTGTCTGCAGTACTGTTTCTCTTT